ATATCATATATATATATGTATATATATAGAGAGAAATATTTTTGTTTATTTATTTACATAAATTAATTATTGTTTAATGGAATTCAATATGGACGTATCACATACTCAGTATATTCATATACTGTATACAAATTCCTTTTAAAACAAAACTATTGTCATTATAGAAAACTAGCGTTTTAAGTATACTAGATAAATCGATTAAAAAAATTTAATAAAAATGAAATGAAATGAATGTCATCAAATAATTAAAAGAATTTCATTATAAGATATTCATAACCTCTTTGAAATTATCCATATTTTCTTTTCTTACAAATCAATATATATAATATATATATCTATATATATTAATTAACAAAATGTCACAACTAGAATTAGATCCACAATTTACACATGGCTTAAGATTATTACATTCTACGAATAAAGATTCCGCTGAACAATTAAGGGCACTTTTAGATGAAGTAATTAAACAAAAGTATGGTCCATCCAAAATGCTTTCTAACGTGTTGCATAAAAAGGTATATGTATATATATATATATATACATAGTTTATCAATATATTTAAATTATTTAACAATAACTTTATTTTTATTTTTTAGTATATGATGGAAGAACCAGTCTTAAGCGACCACAGTAGCAGTAGCAGCAGTAAAAAAAGTAAAAGTTCTTCCAAACATTCGAGTAAATCAAGCAAGAACAGTTCTCCAGTTAATTTACCAGCACGAGATACTCCTCCTGAGATTATTCAATCGGATGATACATTAGCAATGGAAATTTTAGAAGACGATTTAACTTGTGTCATTTGTAAGGGAATGGATGTTGGAGCAAGAAACAGACTTGTTGAATGCGTAGAATGTCATTCTTTGTATCATCAAGAGTGTCATGTTCCACATATACTAGATTCACAAATAGACGTTCCAAGGGTGGTTTGGTATTGTTCTAATTGTACAAAAGCTCAGGTGCGTATGTATATTCAAGCATACTATTTGTGGATGTTTAAATGCATGAATATTTACACAAAAATATATATAAAAATAAAGTCTTAATGCTTTCATTGTAATCTATTTTAGACACCAAAAGAAAGAAGTTCGCCAAAGACTGTGATAGACAGTAAGTCGAAAGAACCAAAAAAAACTAATTCAAGTAAGTAAGGTATTACATGCTATTAAATACATAAAATACCATTACGCTATCATTTCATTTTCTTTAGGCTCGAAGCACTCAGAAAAATACAAATCATCATCACATAATGTAAACCAATCACAACCTATTAATAGAAATAGTTTTCCATCTGGCATAGGTGGTGGAACCAAGGTGGTACCCAACATTCATATCATTAGTGCAGATAAAAGATTGAAGGATATGATGAAAAAGGCTAAACAAGAGAAGCGTAGTACGAACAGCAGCTCTAATTCCAAAAATTCCTCTTCTACTGCAACAGCTAGTTCATCAGGGAAATCTTCTCAGGAAAAATCTGTAATGTATAAAATCAAATCAGGAGTGGAGTGAGATGTTTTATTTTATAACAGATATAATGTCCTACCTTTAATGAGGAATATATTGACCTCATAGTAACCAGTTATCTGTCCATAGTTTAGTATATAAAATCTATTAACAATATTTTTGTTTCTTTTATTAAGCAGAGTATGAAAGAATATGAAACTTTCTTTATATAAAAATATATATGGTCACTAATAAAATTTTAATATTATACAAAAATAAAATTAATTTTTAAGTAACATA